ACTTCTGTCCACCCCGTTTCCTCTCAGGAGAAAAGAGGCACTAATAACCAACACCTCTATATAATACAGTACAGTCAACAGCCTCACAAACATCATCCAACATGAGTAAGAGTTAAGGCAACACCTCTCTAAAACAGTTTGACAAAGACTGAATATTGTAACCTTCATGAGGGGTAGTGTCTGTGCAACTGTTGTGTAATTACTTTTAGCAATTGTGTATTTAATAAACAGGTAGCTGAGTAATATTTATTAATTGCACCACTTTCCTTGTTTGAATGAGAGTGGGTATGACCCTTGCATCACATTTTAAGTAATCATTAATATTGGTTGTGTTTACACAGTGAGTGTAAGCTGAGGTAATTTTCTGGTTCGTACAGGATACGCAGAAGTTCATCATGGTGAAAATTTTTATTTTGGCAATCTTGCCGGCAGTACCACACCCGAGGAGCTGCCGTGAACTCTTTGGAGAAGTACGCAAAGTCTCAGAATGTGACATTGTGGAAAAACTTAGGTTTTGTACACATGAAACTTCATGTCTGAACAGAGGAGGCCATTCAAAACTCCATCACACCGCTGCATGGCTGGCGCAATCAATGAACGTCGAGATGAGCAAAGGGAGGCCCCAAGTCCACCACCAAGCTGCATTGTCAGCAACCTGGGGTGAGGGGTCACCTGTGATGTTCTGCGGGCCAAGTTGAAGAGTTTGGCAGTGGTGGAGTGTGACATAGTGAAGGACATATGGCTGTCACATGAAGCGAATGAGCAATCGCATGGAGACAACAGTGAACTGATCACAATCATTGGCAGGCCGATTCATGGGAGATGCCATGACGCCATCAGGAAGCTGGACAACACCAGCCTTCAAGGTGAACCTTGGGCAGTGAGCATTAGCTGCTTACTCTCTGTAGATACGAGTTTGGATTCTGTTCTTGTTCCGGTACTGCTCTCGTCGATCCTCTACCAGATATTTTCCACATAAAGAGAAAGTGTGGATAACCTTTGCCTTCACTGACCAGGTGGACTGAAAGTAATCACATGTAGCTTGGCAATATCCTTAAAACCAGTGACAGTGCATTCTGGTGTATAGCATGGCATAAAAATCACCTGTAACTGCGCTGAAGAGTTAATTTCGCTTCGCTCAATGATGTCGGTCAAATGCATTTAACGTGTTTATAGTCGCTAAGAGCCTTTCGTGTCACGAACCCCAGGTCTCATGCGTGTTTCTCTCTCCTTACAAGCAAGTGATTGAGCGTAAGCTGTCCACCAGTCGGCTTCGCCACTGCCCCAGGAATGGGAGATCATACCTGCTGCTATGTCTGCGGGGAAACTTGGTCACTGTCGAAAGATCGTCAAGTCGGTGAACAACGGTAGCCCTATCGTGACGGCATGAGAGGTCGCAGCGGCCGGGCCCCCCACGCGGTCCCCCACGTTATGGCAGGGGCAGCTACGGGATGGCCTCACCTCCAGCAGCTGATTACATGGTGGCTCTGCGTATAGTCAGGGTATTTATGTAGAGTGGGCTGCCGCCTGTCCCTGCCATAGGACCAGTGGCTACGGTTCTGAGCTGGGGGATAGGTATGTCAGCAGAGCAGCAGCCTCCTATCCTGAGAGGCCATCAGCTATGATCGTAATGACCGTCTCCTATAGCAGTGTTGACTATTATGAGAATAAGTACAGAGGCTCGCCTCTTGGCTCAAGCTATTCGAGGATCGGGCGATGTCCCTATCTCCCCCCACCCCACACCCCTCCTTTTCCTCCCTTTCAAAGCTCTCCATCCAAGTATATGACTCCATATGACGTCGGCCACTGCCTCCACCTTCAACGGCTGCTGCGAGCGGCCATTACGTATGCTACAGACCGCAAGCACAATGAAGACGAGTAACCGGTCTCTGCGGCGGGTACGGCCTACGAAGCGAAAAATAACCTCCAACGACTGTCACCGTCGATTTTGTGCGGCACAATAGTATTTATTGCCAATTCCTACGACCACCAAGGATATATGCCGCACGATTATCAGTAACAGAAATACTTGCCCAATTAGATCAGTGAGGACAGGAGAGGGCAGAATCTAAAGACTAGACTTACCTAAACATTGTCACTTTAATAACAGGTAGAATTTGTTGCAAGGCTGTTTTATTAGATGACATAGGCTTGAGTGTACACAAATGTGTCACAGGATTTAATTACACTTAAACTACTGCTGTTTGGTGTGTTTTCATGAATGCAATATGGGTGGACTGGTTTGCAATTATATGTACAGTGGGATCCAAAAGTCGCAGACCACTTTCCTGTACACAGTCTTACACCATAAAATAAAGTAGAATGAACTTCATTGTTGCGGTGCAATAATAAAAGTTCAAAATCAAGACCAGTTGTTTAAGACCAACTACACCGAGGTTTTGGAGTCTGACAGGGTCAAACGGGGTTACACAGCGGACATCTGCTGTATACTAACTGTTGAAAAGAAGCGCACGGGCCTGTAACTACTGCCTAAATACCTTTATCAAAGTAGATAAATTGTATTGTATCATGCTCTGTACCTCAAATGTAAACATATCAAGTGAATTCAACACAATATCCTCACCAAAATCAAGTACAGTTTTGAACCACAGCACGATGGTTTGAACTTCACATCACCCACTCTCTACTGTTTGCTAACGTAGAGAGGTAAACATCTCATGTAAGCTTTACGTCAGCAAGCAAGTCGTACTAGCTAGCTTGCTAACACTAACGCTGTCAGTATTTTCGTTGTATGTTACATACTTAAGCTGGCGAAACTGTCTGGATGATCAAGCCCTTTGTAAACTCCATTAATTGGTGTTGAGTGAGCAATTCCGGTGTACTGGCGTTCTAATGCTTAAGTAATGAATCCAGGATGCTACTATATTAGCTACCTAACTAGCTGAGAACTTATTTGCAAACAGTCGCCCGCTGAGTCAGTCCATATCTTTACAGAGAACATCTATACCAACGCTACGACGACAGTTATCAGTCATCAGCTTCCTAAAATGTATCTCCCCGGACTTTTTAATCTCTAACTCACCTACAAAGTGATGTAGGCCTCAACACCAATGAATGAAAGTGAAATGGCGCTGCTTCTTCTTCTTTGAGGTTTTTACGACAGTTGGCATTCGCGATGTTGTGTTCTTCCTCGTCTTCTTCTTTAGGGTTTAACGGTCGTTGGCATCCACTGTGTTGCATTGCTGCCTTCCTCTGGTTTTAATCATCAATTACAATCTTGCTTTCAAAAACCTAAAGATACATTTTCTCCCCTCCACCATGCCCTCACACTCAGGGACAGATTTTCGGGTCTCCACTGTTAGTGGTCTTGTTATCTCTGCTCTTCTTTCCTCTTCATATTTCCAACATGAAATCAGGACACTAGTAACAATGACCAGTTGAATGTTTTCCTTTGATAAATGATACCATTGAAGCTCCTGTGACCAATTCTTCATCTACTCATAATTATTTTCTCCTTTGGTTTCTCTATTTCTCAACACTCCTACTTCGTTTGACTTTCATGTTGGCTTAAGTGTCTTCCTTTTGTCGCATTGTCCCAATATTGCTGTTATTGTTCCATTATTTCCCTCGAAACTCACTGTGCTGTAGAAAGTTTAATATTAATATCCACATTTCCCCTCCTGACCTTCTCTTTCACTAACTTGTCAACATCCTCATTCCCCAGGATTCCTCTGTGTGCTGGTACCCACATGTACGTTATGGTTTCCCCTGACTGGCTCACCTTGAATTACTACACAGTAGTTCATATATTAGGTCCTTCTGGGTGATCCTGTTTTACCGTTGACAGTGCTGACGCTGAGTCAAATAACTCAACAGCATGTACACTCAAAATATCTGCCCTCCCACTGACCCCAGTCCGCTGCCCCTGTTGCCCCTGTTAGTGGATCGTTTGACCCATCAGTAAAAAAAAAACTACATACAGTCACTGTAATTCCACTGTAATATTCCTGAACTATAGCCGCTGTTTTATTTCAGTAACTCCTTGTCCACACAAGCATTCTGCAGCACCCATTCTGGTCTCACAGGCCACAACACAGTTGGACAAAATGCCACTTAGTGAACTTTCATTTGGACAGAGTACACAACTTCATTACTTGATTCAGAGTAAAGATCCTCCTGGTCAAATATTACTCCAATACAATTGAAAGTTTATTTGAGTTAAAGTACTGGAGCACTTGATTTAAAAAAATACTGAAGTATTTAAAAGTACTTTTTTATGTCAACTCATTGTTGTTTTGTAAATAAAAAGACTGTAGACATGGACATAAAAACTCATTGAATCAACTAAAGGAGCTATTGTCATTTTTGTATTTCTTTGTTTTTTTAGTCAGTGATGAAGTTTGGTTGTGGTGAACACAGCAAAAATTTCAAACTAAAGGAATCTTTCTTTATTTCTAAACCTTCAAACAGACTTCAGATCAGAGCAAGGTCTCTGGTGAAGAATCTTCTGCCTCATCTTTATCTACCGCCATCGTTAGGACACTGACAGGTTCAAACATGACTGACAGTGGAGGAGTTGGCAGTGATTGGTTTTTCTGTGATGAACACAGTGTATGGTCTATAACATTTTCAAAGTAAGAGAAAATCCATTCACTGACAAAAAGCTCTGCTTCAAAGTAAGAGTACCTCATAGAAATGTAGTGGAGCCAAAAGTGCAACATTTGTCTTGTAAGTGTAGTGGAGTAAAAGTCAGAAGTTTACAAAAAGAATAATACTCAAGTAAAGTACAGATTCTGGAAAAGTACAGTATTCAAGTAAATGTACTTCGTTATTGTCCATCCCTAACTACCTACCCAAAACTTATTTGCGCTTTCCCCCTTTACCAACATCCTCTTAGCTGGATTACTCTTTTTGTGTCCCCTTAGATTAATCAAGTAATTGTCTGTCAGCTGTTTCCTATGAAGTGGCACGGTGGCATTTCTCCTGCTTCAAGTTAAAGAGCACACGGTTACGCTTTTAACTGCTCCCCAGCAAATCCTCAGAGTCTGAATAACATCCACGTCTGACAACACAGACTTGGCTGCTGAGCCATATGCTCACATACTATAATCAGTCCTTGCCTGGATTAGCACTACATATGATTCAGTCATGCAACATCAGTTTCCCCATCAGACACATTATGACATTCATGACTTTCTTACTTTGCTTCAATATACTTCTGATACGCTCTCACCATGTTAGTCCCTGGGCCAAACGTACTCCCAAAAACAAAAGTATTGTACTCCCTTTAGATTATTTAAACATAACTTCAGATTAATTCCATCCCTTACTTTGTTGTGATCTAACGTTACCGCCACCTTCCGTTTTTAGTCTCCCAGTCATTTTAAAGCCGTCTTTCCAGTTGTCCTCGAAAACCCAAATAACCTCTTCCCACCCTATTTTCCATAATTGTGTCATCATTTCTTGTTCTTCCTTTGTAAATTTCTTGAATGATATAAGGACATGCTCAGTTGTCACAGCCTCATGTCATTGATCACGAAGACCCATTGTTTGTTTCCTTAGAGACCTTTATCATAGAAAGACTGAACAGAAGACACTGTGAGTAAAAGACATATGACAGTCTGCTGGAGTTTGACAAACAGCATTTAAAGACTCTGAGAGCAGGAATACCAAGACTCTCTGATCTGATGAGACAAAAACTGAACTCTTTTGGCAGAACTCCAAACATTTCATCTGGTGAACACCACTTACTGCTCGTCACCCGGATAATACCATCCCTATGGTGAAGTATGGTGCAGCATCTTGCTATGGGGGACTCCTCAGCACTAGGGACAAGGAGACTAATCAGAGCTGAGTGAAGGATGGATGCAGCCAAATACAGAGATGTCCTTGAAGAGAACTTGCTCCAGAGCCAGCTGACCTGAGACTGAGACAACTGTTCACCTTTAAGCTCCACAATGACCTGAGGCAAACAGCCAACAGCACTGGAGTGTCTTCAGGACAAGCCTCTGATTGCCCTTGAGTGTCCCAGCCAAAGCCCAGATTTAAACCCCATAGGACATTTGTGGAGAGATCTGAAATGACAGTTCACAGACCCTTCCCATCCAATCTGACTGAGCTGAGGATCTGTTAGGAAGAGTAGGATAAACTGCCCAAATCCAAGTTTGCAAAAAGTGAAAGGGTTTGAATATTTTCTGAAGCTGCTGTATCTAAATCTGCTTTAGCTATAAAGGATATTAAAATCTTTATTCTGCATATTACAATCCCTCCATACTGTAAGAGCATACTGTATTTTTGTATACATACATTTTATCCACAAGAACAACAAAAACATCAAAGAACAAAAACCCATATGCATATTATGTCTTTCAAGTATCTGTCAGGGAAAGGTGAGTGTTACTAATACAGTTTCCTTTCCATAAATAACATAAATATCATTACACACAAAACTAATGTTGTGGAATTTGTATTTTTGTCAAACAATCAGGAGTAGGCTACAGTTGTTTCTATGGCACCTCATGTAATCAAATGTACATTTAGCCTATGTATAAGCAGAATTATTAAGAGTGATGGAGGGGTGACGTAGAGACACAGGAGTGACCCTTTAAATTCAGAAAATTGAGGAACTCTCAACATGGTGGCACATAATGTAAAGCTGCTAAGCTAAGATAGCACATTTACAATCTTCATATACATTTAAATGTGATTTTCAAAATTACATGATCTTAGATAAAAATATATACACATGAAAAGTTAATGTGGTTACACACACTTTTTAGCATTCTAGCTAACATTCGGCTGTTGCTAACATAAGATAGCTTTAACCAGATAATAAGCTAGTTTCAACCAGGCGATGTATTTCTTGTTGAAGGTTTCTTTCATTGTTCTTTCTACAAACTGTTAACAAGATACTGGGTGTTTTCGATCTGTAATTTTAGAGAATCTAGTCAAATTTGAACTCCTCATCACTTCTTGAGTTAGCACACAACAACATATGGTATCCCAGTAAAATCCTCATGCTAACTGTAACTGTAAATCTCACTTTACACTGAAAGTTGAGTGAAACCATGAAGTGGGGTTGGAAATTGGTTCAGTTTTACACTTTATCACTTACACTTTAGTAAAAACAGGCAAATCCTAGGGCTGAGTAGTGAAGCCAAAGTACAACAGCAGTAAACTCAAATTCAACAAAGTCTATGTTTTTCTACAGTCTATGGTCTGTACTGACAGCAGTAGATCTATGGCATCTCAAGCTGTCTTCTCTGTAGCAGTCAAACTTTGATTTAGGCTGGGAGGATGAATTGTATTTACATGAAAATCTTGGCTTTAGCAACTTTAATTAGCACACCCAAGAGTTAGAAACTCACTTAGCATACTGACAAGTCTCTCAACAAAATACAGTCAGAGTCTGAGCGGGCAACTTGATCCCATACTGACATTTGTCCTTCACAGCAGAGAGGTGGTGGGATTAATTGGTGCTGGTGTCTGACTGCTACAACTTCAGCCATGGAGGATAATTTCCACCACAGGGTTGCAGAAGAGATCTGCGTTCTTATTCTTCTTTGAAGAAGACGGCCCAGTTCCTCTCAGTAGCTGCTCTCATGTCCAGTCAGGATGTACAGGTTGCTCAGTGCTGAGGGGTCATCTGTGGGTGTGCTCTGAAGGATGATGTCCCTGTTCAAAGAGAGGGGGACAAATCTTACAGCTCATCCTGACAACATGAATCAAAGTCTATGATTGTCAATCTTAAAATATCCAATGTTATTAAGTACTTATGTAGAATGACACTGTACTCTTTATCATTCATAATATACTCAATCTCGATGTGCACAACTATTAATTCTGCTCCAACTACTGTAAATACTACTACAACTATTACTACTACTACTACTCCTAATGATGATTATACTGTCACTGTTACTATGACTACAACTTCATACCATTACCACTAGTACTGTTACTACTGTAAATCCCATGACTGCTATTAATTCTGTTACCACTCCTGTTAGTCCTGCCTCTGTTACTCAAACTACTTGAAGACCGCTAC